TTTCTGATGGTGGGTTCAAACTGCTAACCTTATGGTTAGAAGTGCAGTGCTTATACTACCACACAACCAGCATACCTACCTATCTATATACCTAGGAAAATTTGTTGGAAAAGACCTCTTTAAAGTGTTAAAAAGAAAAAAGAAAAAGATGTCATTTTGAGGCCTAAGGTGAACCTGACCAAGCCATGGAATTTTCAGTTGCCTCCTATGTATGTAAAGTCGGACAATCAATAAGGAAGGTAGAAAAGAATGAATGCCTTTGAATTATGATGTTGGTGTAGATTACTGAATATGCCATGGACTACCAGAAGAATGAAAAAAAGCTCCTTAGGAGTGAGGATGGCTCGAGACTTTGTCTAACGTACTTTGGATGTGTGGTCAGGAGGAACTAGTCCCTGGAGCAAGACAGCATGTAAAGGGTCAATGAAAAAGAGGAAGATCCTCAGCAAGACGTATTGACACAACAACAGTGACAATGGGCTCTAACATAACAATTGTGAGGATGGGGCAGGACTGGGCAGGGTTTCACTCTATTATATACAGGGGTCACATGAGTCAGAATCGACTCAATGGCACCTAACAACAACGATATCTAAGTGGTATTGGATGAATGAATGGATGGGGATGCAGTCAGGTAGGTTAGACTAAGAATTGTGAGTTTTAGTTTCTATTCCTAAATTTAATATGACTATCTTCTCAAGAATTCAGCTTCTCTCAGGTGGGATCTTACCTAGTAATACTGTAGCAGTAGGGAACAGCATAAACTAACAAGATAGAATAAAGATGATACAATTTATTAATTCAAGCAACCACCTCCGTAGTATCGTTGAGAACATGGCAAACAAACATTTTTTCATCATGAAAACAGTATTACAAGAAATGAATGACATGAACAAGTCTCCAAAATAAGTTTTATTACAAAAAACTTAATACAATTCAAAGCTCAATTGAGAATAAACTTGGAACCAAATCAACTATACTGACTCAAAAAGGGATAAGTCAAGAAAGTCAACATGTACTCTAGGTTAACCCAAATGATGCCTTTCCTAAAGAATTCTAGGGTGATGTGATCTTATCTGTCACTATCCTAGATATTAAAGAGATTTAGTTCTTTTCTTTAGTAGTAAAGACAAACAGAAATAAAATTTGGGACAGGCTACTCTACAGAATCAAGTGAGCAAGACTAGAAAATGTAAATGTCAAAGTGCAGAAGACGCACTTCTCCATAAGAAGGGGAATCTACATTCAAGAGAGAGAAGCTCCTAAGAGGGAGATTTCTCTGTTTTCAAAATGAAACATACCTTGAGAAGTTTATTCCATTTCTTTATCTTTAGAGCTACAGCTAAATAATCCTGTGAAAATGAGAGAATGACTTTCAATATTTTACAGAGCTCCCAGTCTCCTTTAGGGAGGTAGGAATTGTGTTACAGATGACTATTTCATTATCTGTAAAGTCCTCCCTTCTACCCTATTCTCTTAAAACTCTGGATAAACCCATTTCTTCTGTAAAATCGAGCATATGTTGGTGGGAGGCTTCAGCAATATTTAGTGTCATTGCCCTTGTAACCAGCTGTTCTTGTTAGGTGCCATCGAGCCAAATCCAATTTACAATAAATAACCCCACGTGCTAAAGTAGAACTTCCCTGTAGGGCTTCTTAGGCTGTAGTCTTCATGGGAGCACATTGCTGTGTCTTTCTCCTGCAGCACTTCTGGGTGGATTCAAACCACCAACCTTTTGGTTAGTAGCAGAATGCTTAACCATTGCACCACCAGGGCTCCTTCTAGGCAATTACCTCATTGCTGTGAAGTTGATTCCGACTCACAGCAGTCCTGTACTACAGAGTGGTGATGGTGGTGGTGGTGGTGGTGTGCTGTGCTCTATACAACCCTATATAGAGTTTCCAATGCTGTAAATCTTTAAAGCAGCAGAAAAACCTCATCTTTCTCCCATGGAGCAGCTGGTAGATTAGAACTGCTAACCTTTTTGTTGGCAGCTCAGCCCATATTCCACTAGAGTGGAGTTCTGGTGTGGCGCTGCGGGGTTAGTGTGCCGGACTGCAAAGCCATTTGAACTGCAAGGTTGGCTGTTCAAGCTAACCGGTCACTCCTCGGAAACCCTATAAAGGGTCACTATGGGTCGGAACTGACTCTACGGCACTTAACAACAACAACAACAAACCAGAGCTCCTTGTAGAACAGAGTAGAACTACTCTATACGGTTTCCAAGGCTGAAATCTTACAGAAACAGATGGCCATCTCATCTTCCTGCTGAACTTTTGGTTCGCATCTGAGAGTTTAGTCATTGAGCCACCAGGGTTCCTTACATAGGCAACTGTTGTTGTTGTTGTTCAGTGCCGTAGTATCAGTTCCTACTCATAGCGACCCAGATTATGGTTTCCAAGGAGCAACTGCTGAGTTTGAACTGCTGACCTTGTGGTTTAAACTGACCTTGCAGTCCAGTACTTTATCCAATAATGCCACACCAGTACTTTATATAGGCAACTTTGCTGCTGTTGTTAAGTATCATCGAGTCAATTCCAACTCATAGTGACCCTGTGTAGGATTTCCAAAGAGCGGCTCGTGATTTTGAACTGCTGACCTTGTGGTTCAGTGCCATATCCTACAACAGCACACCAGGACTCTATATAAGCAACTAGGTACAGTGAAAATACTTAGTGCTTTGGTACCAGATGAATGTGAATTTGAATTCTGGTTCTGCTATCTGTTAGCTGGATGGTATTTAAGTCGTTTCATATCCATACAGCAGTGTTTACTCATTTACAAATTGTGAAATTTGAATGAAATGTATATAAACTGCTTAGCCTACCATTGGGTAGCTATATGTTCACCTAATAAGGGCCACTAGTGCTGCTTCTTGCTTATCATATAAACATGTGACCTGCAATCACCTAATTCTTAGTCTTTAGTGATCATGGAGCAGGAATCATCAAGATAACAAATACAACTGATTTGTCCTGTAACTGGTATCACATGAACAACCTAAGACACCATGTGCTATGTTATTCTTTTTGATGATTTTGAAAAGCACAGTTTTTTTGTTTTTACAAGAAAGTAATTGTATCACTCGGCAGATGAATATCACATAAAACAGTGCTGTGGGCTAATGTGCTGGACTACAAAGTTGGCTTGATCTGCAAGGTTGGCAGTTCAAGCTTATCAGCCGCTCCTCAGAAACACTATTCAGGGTTGCTGTGCAAGAAAACTATCTGGCCAATTGATAGGAAGAGATCCATATTTGTGCCCATTCCAAAGAGAGGTGACCCAATGGAATGCAGAAATCATCAGACAATATCTCTGATATCCCATGAAAGTAAAGTTTTGCTACAAGTAATACACTAATGACTACAAGCATACATTGACAGAGAACTTCCAGAGGCCCAAGCCAGATTCAGAAGAGGCCATGGAATGAGAGATATCATTGCTGATGTCCGATGGATCTTGGCTGAAAGCAGAGAATATCAGAAAGATGTTTACCTGTGCTTTATTGACTACACAAAGGCTTTTGATTGTGTGGATCATGACAAGCTATGGACAACATTGAGGGTATGAGTATTCCAGAACATTTAATTGTGCTCATGAGGAATCTGTACTTGGACAAGAGGCAGTTGTTCGAACAGAACGTGGGAACACTGAATGGTATAAAATTAAGAAAGGTGTGTGACAAGGTTGTATTCTTTCACCATACTTATTTAATCTGTATGCTAAGCAAATAATCCAAGAAGCTGGGTTATATGAAGAAAAACATGGCATCAGCATTGGAGGAAGACTCATTAACAACCTGCGATATGCAGATGATACAACCTTGCTTGCTGAAAGTGAAGAAGACATATAATACTTACTGAGGAAGATCAAAAAGCACAGCTTTCAGTATGGATTGAGCCTCAATGTAAAGAAAATGAAAATCCTCACCACTAGACCAATAAACAACATTCTTATCAATGGAGAAAAAATTGAAGTTGTCAAGGACTTGATTCTTCTTGGAACAACTATCAACACTCATGGAAGCAGCAGTCAAGAAATCAGACGACGTATTGCATTAGGCAAATCTGCTGCACAAGACCTTTTTAAAGTGTTGAAGAGCAAAGATATCAGCTTGAGGACTGAGGTGTGCCTGACCCAAGCCATGGTATTTTCAATAACCTCATATGCATGCGAAAGCTGGACAGTGAATAAGGAAGACCATAGAAGAATTGATGCTTTTGAGTTATGGTGTTGGAGGAGAATATTGAAAGTGCCATGGGCTGCCATAAGAACCATCAGATCTGTGTTGGAAGAAGTGCAGTCAGAGTGCTCCTTGGAGGCCAGGATGGCCAAACTTTGTCTCTCATACTTTGGACATATTGTCAGGAGGGACCAGTCGCTGGAGAAGGATATCCTGTCTGGTAGCGTGTAGGGTCAGAGACAAAAAGGAAGACCCCCAGTCTTGGATTGGCAAAGTGGCAGCATCAATGGGCTCAAGCGTGGCAACAGTAGTGAGGTTGGCCCAGGATCAGGCAGTGTTTCGTTCTATTGTGCTATGAGTCAATACCGACTCAATGGCACCTAACAACAACAATATGGGTCAGAACCGACTTGAGAGCAGTTAACAGCAACAACAAAAGCATTGAATGTGTGTTTTATGGACAAAGCAGATGCATACTTTAAAATGAAAAAAGTCAAAAGTAAAATGAAATCCCCAATACAAACATAGGTAACATTCATAACAATTGACATTTTGGTCCATAATTTGGAGGTACAGATTATTTTAATGAAATATATCTGAAACCACTTTGAATGGTTAAAGTATTCTGAAGGAAACCAGAAAATACCCTCAAATAATTCACTAAAATGAACAAAAATATATAGAAACGGATGTGCTGCTTATGAGAAATGACTCTGTTTTTGCGGAGGAGAATGGTTTACATTGTTGGAAAAGCAGCATCTGGGAATGACTAAAGAATTCTCTAGACTCCATTGTTTTCCTTTTCCCTGGTCACCAATCAGATTCTCTGGTATCCAGATGACGTGCGCCTTAGGCGGATTCCATAGACAATCAAACCCAAAGCGCAGAGACCCAGCACGATGGCCCCAATCACGGGAAGCACAATTGTGTAGTCTGAAGAACACTCATCCACTACGAGAGAAAACAATACAATAATAGTGGGTAAGGTGTGGTGCTGGCAGACCAGAAAGCAGACCAGTGTGGGAAGAATATGAGTTTTGGAGTCAAACAAATGAAGACTTGAGTTTTAATAACATCACTACCTAGCTGTGTGGAGTCCTGGTGTGGCGCTGTAGGATAAGCACTAGACAAGGCTGGCAGTTCAAACTCACCAGCTATTCCTTGGAAACCCTAGACAGGGTTACGAAGAGTCAGAACTGACTCGACAGCACTTAACAACAACAACAACAAAAACAACTACACAAACTAATTTTGTGACTTGGGGCCATTTACTTAACCTTACAATTTTTTCATTTATCAAGCAAGCAAATAGTAGATACAATAGTTGGAAGATGAAATAAGATAACCTTCTGTAGGTATTGCTTATTGCTATTAGTGGCCAGCACATAGTACTCCTAGAGTTTTTAAGAGTTACCTTTTGGAAGATCACTAGGCCTTACTTCCAAGGAGCCTCTGAGTGGGTTTGAACCTTGTATTACAGCTTAAATTCTAAATACTTGGTTTGCAGAAGGCTATGCTTTACAGTGGGAGCTCTAATTCCATTTTGACATTTGACGTTAATTCAGCCTCCATTGAGTCCATTCAGATCTTGACTAGCAATGTAAAAGCTTTATATTCAGGCAGAATATTTAACAGTGGATTATGGTGACTACACCTAGGCAGCCCAGGCAGGGGCATGACCTGTGCTCTCAGGTCATGATCTTGTCTGGGAGGGGCCATTAATGGAAATTGGGGTACCAGGGTCTCATACCCTGACAAGGTGGTGGTAGAAGGGTTGGGGGGGGATGGTGCTAGAACCAATCCTGTAGAGCTTTCTCATTTGCAATGTTGTTGTTGTTATTGTTACGTGCAGTCAAGTTGGTTCCAACCTTGACTTCATAGTGACCCTGTATAGGGTTTCTGAGGAGCGGCTGGTGGATTTGAACCTTGCAGTTCAAACCAACCTTGTGGTCCAGTGCTTATCCCACCCACCAGGACCCCAATCTGCAATGTTGCTGTTGTTATTATTTGCCATGGAGTAGGTTCCGACTCATAGCGACCCCGTAAAGGGTTTCCGAGGTTGTAAATCTTTACAGGAGTAGAAAGCCTCATCTTTCTACCTCGGAACAGCTGGTAGTTTAGAGCTGCTGACGTTGCGGTTCGCAGCCCGATTCATAACCACTACGCTACCAGAGCTCCTTCCAATCTGCAATGTTGTTGTTGTTGAAGGAGCTCTGGTAGCGTAGTGGTTACGAATCGGGCTGCGAACCGCAAGGTCAGCACTTCGAAACTACCATCTGTTCCATGGTAGAAAGATGAGGCTTTCTGCAAATAGTGTATATAAATCAACCATGGTCCGTTTCCTTCCATAGTCCTGCTTGTGACCGTGATGAATTTATCTGCTGTGATTCACCCATGTTGTTAAGTGCTATTGAGTCTATTCTAACTCCCAGTGACCCTGTACAGGGTTTCAAAGGTTGAAAATCTCTGTGAGAACAGAAAGCCTCATCTTTCTCCCCAGATTGGCTGGTGGACTTGAACCTCTGACCTTGTGGTTCAAAGTCCAGAGCTTATCACCACATTCATAAACTTGAACAATTTCTTCTGGCAACTACCAGAAGAAATTGTCAAAATGAATTTGTCTTTTAATTAACTTTAATAATTTAAAGAAAAGAAAACGTTGCTTTTTATTATAAGCCCTTCTAGAATACTTGATACTTTTGTTATTTATACAAATCTATATTTCTTAGATAAAAAAGAACTTTAACAAGTTAAGAAATTAAAACGGGTTGAAAAGTTTATCAAAAACTTAAAATGTAAAGTACATGCCTATTGATTTGGCAGTTCCCCTGCTAAGAATTTATGTGAAAGATACATTCACAGAAGAACACAAAAGCTATATTACAACAATATCCTTTTCATAAGAGCAAATTTTAATAATCTATAAAAATCCCAAACTGTTAAGTCAATTCTGACTCGTCGAGACCCTATCGAATAGAGTTGAATACTTGGCAGTAAAGTCCTAAGTCCCAACGATTGGTGTTACCCAAGGCAATAACTCAAGGTACTTCCCTTCTACCCTTAACCACGAACCTTTTTCCATACCAGACCATACAGAATTCTCAATAATGTTTATTAAAAATCTTACTCATAGAATGTTGTTGTGAAGTGCCATCAAGTCGGTTCCAACTCATAGCCAACCTGTATAGGGTTTCTGAGGAGTGGCTGGTGAGTTTGAACTGCTAACCTTGCTGTTCAAACTGATTTTGCGGTCCAGTGCATTATCCTGCAGCCCCACACCAGAACTCCATGATAACTCAAGTTATAAATTGATTACACGTAACATTTCTACCACTCTAATTAATCACTGTAAACCTCTTGAGATATTTGCTTCTGCCTCTGTATGTGAGTGTGTATATAACTCATGTCCAAATTTGAAGAAAAATTGTATTTAAAAAATGATATGTCCTCATTATAAATCATTAAAACAACTCAGAAAAGGACAAATGAAAAAGTAAAAACCAATCACCCTATAAACCACCCACGCAGTGATTATTATTGAGAACATTTGTTGTTGTTAAGCGCTGTCGAGTGAGATCCACCTTATAGCAACCCTGAGTAGGATTTCGGAGGAGTCACTAATGATTTTGAACCATTGAGCTTGTGGTTCAAACCAACCTCTTAGCCCAGGTTTATCTTACAGCGCTATACCATAAACAAACATAATTTCAGGTATATTGCTTTACAACTCTAAGGATACATGGATAGAAAAAGTATAGACATACTCATTAAAATAAGATCACAAACTTTATTTCATTTAAAGTGTTCATTTTGATTTCACTCGAATTTAATAGAAGAAAAAGAATTAAACTGGAGGAATTCTTGTTCTTTGAATAAATATTTTTTTTAATCAGAGGAAATATTGTTTCATAAAGGAACCCTCTAAGGTTCAAAATATAAGTGAAGCACACATTATAAGATTATGAAATGCATTAAGAGGTTATGAAGGAAATTGGAGGTGTTCTGTGTTTTCTAGGGGAGTTCTGGTGTGGCGCTGGATTAGTCATTCCTCGGGAAGCCTACACAGGGTAGCTATCAGTTGGTACCTACTCAACAGCACTTGACAACAACAATATGTTTTCTAAACTGTGTTTCCAATTTAGACATCAGGTATTGATACTGTTTTGGAAGATTAACGCTAACAATTTCCCTTCCATCTAACCTCTCCCTAATTCCAAGTTTTCATGTTTATATAACTTTGTTCTGTTGTCCCGGTTTACAGTATTTCAATTGATTTGATTAACTATCACTCCTAGAGTGTTTAAATGTTTGTTTTGAATGTACGATGGGGCTTCAAAATTTTTGTGGAAAAGCTGAATGAAAACGTATAACATATTGACACAATTTCAGATAAAAATAATACAAGATTCTGTACAATGAGAAACTTCATTTCTACCTGGTCCTTTCTTAGTCCTCCTATACCCATTAGATAGCTACTTTGCTTAATTTCTTATACGTATATTTAAGATTTCTTTACGTAGATACAAAGATGAAGTTGCTGTTGTTAAGTGCTGTCTAGTCAGTTCTGACCCACAACTACCCTGTATAGGGTTTCCTAGGAGTGGCTGGTAAGCTTGAACTGCCAAACTTGCTGTTCAAACCGACCTTGCAGTCCAGCACATTGATCCGCAGTGCCACACCAGGACAAAGATGAAAATATACATTATTTTCCCTTTTATCACTATTATGCACTATGCTGTTTTGATTTAACAATATATGAGCTCTTCTATTATAAATACATATATGTTGTTGTTGTTCTTAAGTGCCATTGAGTCAATTCTGACCCATAGCGACCCTGTATAGGGTTTCCAAGGAGCAGCTGGTGAGCTTGAACCACCAACCTTGCAGTTCAAATGAGTTTACAGTCTGACTCATTAGCCCACAGCGTCACACCAGGACTCTCTCTCTCTATATATATATATATAGCATCTGCATTCTTTTTTGATAGCTATATAATATTCTTTTGTGAGTATATCTTAGTTTCAAATTTTGCCCTGATTGATTTGTTTCTAATTTTTTATTATTACAAATAATGTCATAATGAGTAGGTACAAATATTTTATATCTCATGATACATTAACAAACCTATAATCGCTTAGTACTTTTTATATTTAAATGGCTAAAATGATCACCTCAGCAGTCTTTTTTTAAAGATTGTTTATACTTACTTCCTTGTTAATATTGTAGTTCATCTCTTATCAAATTTCATAGTCAAACTATATCTTTTAGAAGGTCTCATTTGTTGCATCTTTTGAACTATTTCATGTTTGAGGACATCTGCCTTTCATCTTTATACTTATTGTTTTATGATTGAAAGTTCTTTATTTTTGGACTTTGTAGATATTGGCCTTTTGTTTGCAAACTGAATATTATTGTGATGAAATCTGAAGCCAACTTTAACTTTCCCTCTTTATCGATGATTGTTTTCATTTTAAATTTGTCTAGATGCCTAACCAATTCCTTATTTTTGAAGTTCTCTGACTTACTTCAAATATACCCTAGAACTAAGAATTTTGTAGTAATTCTTTTCTGGGACAAAATATGCTGTTTCAATCTGAAATTTTCATTATCTCAAGAAAATTCTCTTACATCTCCAAAGCACCGGACTGTTATCCATAAGTTTGGTGGTTCAAACCCACCAGCCTTTCCTTGGAAACCCTATACAAGGTTGCAATGAGTTGGAACCAACTCAATGGTGCTCAGCAACAACACCACTAACTCAGAGGAATCAAGTATCTTTATATTATTGTTGTGTGCCATCAAGTCAGTTCTGACTCATAGCGAACCTGTATAGGGTTTACAAGAGCCACTAGTGGGCTTGAACTGCTATCTTTGTGGTTAGCTGTCAATGTTTATCCTATATCCATATAATTCAAAGCCCAATTTTCAGCTAAGCAATGGATATGTAAATC